TAGAAAATAAATTAGTTAGTCAAGAAGTTGCACTTATTCGCTCCACAACGTATTAATCCTCAACGCATTTTTGTTATCCGTTTTTGTTCTTGTTTTCGTTTTGTTCTGTAATAGTTTATAAATAAATAAATGTTACATAAAAATAGTAGTGGTGATCAGAGTTCAAACCAATAGTATTCTAGTTCCTGATTCTTGCCGCTACATTTTTAGAAGCCTTTTTTTAATCCCGATTTTATTTAAATATGAAGTATTTTTTACAAATTTTTAAATATATATTTCGTATTTACTTTAAAAATGCATTTCGTTATTACACTTCACTTTGATAATATAATCAATAGTATTATCTATTATTAAAAGTAAATATTGTAATTACATCGTTCATTGTTTTTCAGGGATGCGCCAGGTAAACAAGAGATAAATGAATTTCAAAAGGTTCTGATGTTCATTAAAAAAAAAAATAGCATTGTTATTTTTTTGATATGATACTAATTATTTCTTTATTTTCATCGGCAAATATAGTGTATCATTCAAATTGCTCGTATACATATATCGATATTAAACTATTCGATATGTCGTCTCGAAAGGATTAATCGATAGGTTAAGTCGAACTTTATTTCGCAATGTTGTGTTTGAAAATGATTCTAACCTAAATGTTGCGTTGTTGAGATCGAACATTATCTGAAATATTTGAATTAGTCATCCTCATTTATGTATATGTTGAGTGGATAATATACGTCAGTATATCGAGCTTACTTGTTATGTATTTTGCTAGAAGATCTATTGTCATTGCGGTTGCAGAAGGAATCTTTAAATCAAAAAGATGTACAACTTAAACGTTTTTATATTCTTCTTTTCTCTTTCAACAATTAGTTTGGTATGAATGAATTATTTGCATTCAAAACATATATGCATATATGTATTTCTAATAACATATTTATTTATTGTTTATTATCGTTACAGGGTAATATAGTAATTAATAAAACTAAACCTTACTGCGAATTTAACGAAGAAATCTTTAGCCATTCTTATAATTTAACCAAATTGTCTAAACCTGGGGAAGATATCATTATTCATCATAATTCTAATGAAACTATACGAATGCAGTTATGTTCACCATTGATAAAGAAATGCAATGGGAAAGATGGGTATTCTATATGTTTAGAAAAAAACGACAAAGAAATAGGAATAGGTGATTAAACTTTTTCTTATTCATTTATATTTCATTTAATAGCACTTAATTGTTATTATTTATGATAGGAAAAGTAATACCAAACTTGTCAACTAAATCTGGAAAAATACATTTTACTTTTAACGGCGATAAATGCCAACCAGGTGTCAATTATACAGTGGATATCTTAATAATGTGCGATTATTTAATTAACAATCATTCGATACCGATTACATTTGAACAAGCAAGTAATTTTACATATTTATCAAATATATGTTTGTCGTTGAGATTTTTTTGATCTTTGATATACCAATGTAATGATTACTTACAGAAAAATAAATGTCAATTCCATATGGTATGGAGTAGCGCTTTCGCGTGCGCTAAAAGAAAAGAAATCAATTGTACTGTGACTGATCCTTCCGATGGCTCTCAATATGATCTTTCACCTCTAAAAAGATATTCGGATAATTATGATATATATGTTGGAAACAATACATCTGTTAATTTAATATTGAATGTTTGTCATTCCGTGATATTCGGATACAATGTTCTCTGTCCCATAAATTCAGGAGCTTGTCTTCAAGATCTTAAAAAAGAACCTAAATTGAGGTATAAATATATAAAGAGTCTTCAAAATATACAATTTTATGAAAGCAATAAATAAGTAATTATAGATTTATGTATCGTTTTAAATTCAGATATTTAAATTTGGGAAACGTTCAGAAACCTCTTACCATAGATTCTTCCAAAAATCTAATATTAGAATACGAGGATGGAAGTATGTGTAAAAATGGACAACAGATAGAACATCATATTCGAACCACCATTACATTTATCTGTAATTTGGACGCTAAAGTGAATATTTTGTCGACGAACTTACTTAAGGATAATGATTAGAACAATTCTATGCTGTTATTACGTTTACTTTACTAGGAAACATCTCCGGAAGTAATAAAAACTGATGGCTGTCATTATCAATTGAAATGGATAACCGTAGCTGCTTGCAGCTTAAAACTTTTACGTGAATATAGTGCAAAGACAGTTGGAAGATGTACTATAAATAATCCTATAACAAATTTTATGTAAGAATTTCATTTTCCATATAGCAATTTCAATTATAATTCTTGATACTAATTCATATTCTTTCGTGCAGGTATGATTTACAATCTTTAATGAATAAAGATTTTCATGCCACTTCATCTCAGGGTAAAAAATATACATTTCGAGTATGTGGACCTGTTGCAACTAATAAGTGTAAGGAAAAAACAGGTTAAGTATATTTTATTTTTTTAATCGATATTTTATGAAATTAATATATTTTGCGAAACACACGAAGGTATTGCTATTTATCGATAAATGGTTTCGCGCGAATAAATCACTCGTGTTCTAATTTACCGATAAAGTATAATACCAACGTTAGCGTAATGAGCTTCGTTATCCCTACCTTTCCGACTTTGCTTATGAATATTTAATTTTGTACTTTCCATATAGAAGATAGGCGTGCATTCAATGCATCTTATGCATTTTCGACATTGTCACTTTTTGAGAGGTATAAATAAAATAAAAGAACAATGCTAGATCAAGATAATAGATGACAACGCTCGATCAAGTTTTTAGCTTCATATTAATTGTTTTTAAATGAATGCAAAATTTTCAGAAGAAATAATATTTAATCGTTGTTAAGAAGTAAAGTATAGTTGAAAAGCTTATAAATATTAACAATCACATATTTAGGAGTTTGTCTTAAAGAAAATGGTGCATCTCTGGGTATGGCTAACACAAATCTGATGTGGCAGCAGGATGGACCATACTTAAATTACACGGATGGTGACAAATGTAGCTATAATCAGTACCGTCAAACATTGATTGCATTTTTATGTGGACCCGAAGGATCGACAAATGATCCAATTATTATTAAAGAAAGTCCTTGTCAGTTGATCATTCATTGGAATCTTAATTTGGTTTGCGAAAAAAAAGCAAGTAATTGATCACAAATTGTTTATATAATTATTATTTCAACTCTAATCAGATATTTGATTTTAGATCAAATGCGCTACCGTAGATAATGAAATTAATTTAACTCCTTTAATACGTTCGACAAGCAATTATATTGTAAAAATAAATAGTACCGTATTTTATATAAATGTATGTCAACCTATAGTAAAAACTACAGATTTAGAATGTGAGCATGGCAGTGCCATTTGTAAAGCTTCATTAAATGCTAATAATGAATTAGTAAAAGAAGTAAGTAAATAATATGTTATCGAAATAATATATCATTTTAAAATGTAACATGTAATATTTTATTTTAGAATTTAGGTTTTCCTAAGAATGCACCAGAAATAAATAAAGATCAAATTATATTACGTTACCTCGAAGGTTCCGCATGTCAAGAAAGAACAGATACCAAAATTTCATCAGTTCTTCTATTCGTTTGCGGTGACAAAAACGAAGTAATGATTTTGAAATGTTCTCTTATACTTTAATTTAATTATATATTGAATATATTATTATTATATTTTCAGGGCGCGCCAGAATTTAAAAATTATAGTAATTGTACATATACTTTTGAATGGAAAACTAGCATCGCTTGTGGAGCTGTCATGGGTGACTGGGTTCCACCATGTATGATAAAAGATCGATTTCGTTCAAATCAATTCGATCTTTCTTTATTATATGCAAAACAGCCAATGCATTACGTGAGTTTCCTTTCCATTCAAGTACATTAATCTAATTGTAAGACTTGAAAAAAAAAATAGAGTGTAAGTAATGTATAATTAAAATAATAGGTTAAAGGTAAAGAGAAAAATTACGGCATAAATATATGCGGAAAAGAAAAAAATTGTAATGGTTCTACGGTGTGCCAAGAATCTAATAATTATGGATCTTTATCAAACGTTATTTTTGATTATAATCGAGACTATATCAAACTTGAATATTCGAATGGCAGTAAATGTTTTAATAGTAAGTAGTGTAGAAGTAAATCTATATTTAGTCATTTTTCTTCTTTTTCTTATATTCGTATGTTAATTATTGCAGGTTCCTATATGTCCGAAATCAAGTTTATATGCAACGAGTCCAGTGAAATTGGCGAACCGAAGCTGTCGTGGGTAAGTAGTAAGATTGCTTCTTCCATTAGTTTGCTTTTCATTTTTATTTATAATGAGATTCTACTATTATTAATCTTATTTTTTGATATCAAGATATAGTTTATATAGATATTCGATGAAAATGTATAAACTATATACAAATGCTTAAACTATACTTTTTCTAAACAAATTTGATTCAAATATACAAATAATAAATTGCATATAAAATGATAGTAGATACGAGATGATTATTATGTACACGAAAAAAATAATAGGGAATGTAAAAGTAATTTACATTAAAGCGCAATATTGCATATTAAAAATAAAGAGTTGTTTCAAAATTCTCATACTCTCATTCAGAGTATTTGCGTTTAATTATAAATAAGAAAATATGACAACTTTGAACACACTCTGTTCAGTATTTCTATGATATGTTTGTTTTAACGATATATGAGTAAATATCGATAAAGAAAGATATAAGTAGGTAAAAAAAAATGATACTTATAATTAATATTACGATTACATCGTTTGGATATCGATCCTTTCAGTCAATAGATTAAATTTAAATTAATTATGTTTCTTAAAAATAATATCTATGTATAATATATTTATAAAAAAAAAAAACAAAAAAGAATGAAGTAACTCAAAGTTATTTTAACATTGCACCAATTTGATATTACGTATTTTGGAATTAAACGGTAGTCGTGCTTTGTATTTTATTGATCAAGTTCTTATGAATTGCTTCGCATTCTGGTACATTGTAAGGTATATTACTGTCACTCAATTTAGTTACCTCGTTCTCATCGCTGTTAACGCGAGGAAATTTCTCAATCGAATCACATATAAACATTTTAAGCGAATCAGCAGGTGGAGTAGTCGCGATAGGTGTATCGGGAATTCCGCACGAATATATCAACTCTTTCTTTTCTCCATTGATTTGTATACAAGGATAATGTTTCTCAAAGATTTTCTTTTTAACTAGGCTTTTGGTAAGTTCTGGCGGATGTGGTAATGCATATCTCAACTTATCCCAAAACCACGGGTCGCCCCATTTAACGTACGTGTTCATATTTAGATAAGCTTTGAACTCGACATCCAAATTGTCCGTAGAGCCGATATCTCCGTATAAAATTAATATGACTCTGGCTCTACCTTCGCTCATAGCTTGCCTATGAGCTGCACGAAATTCCATCGCCCCCCAAATACTTTCCAAAAAGTTAGGCGATACTATCACGATCGTTCTCTTTGATTTTTCCACAGAACGCGTTATTTGCGTTGGAATCCATTCACCGGCTAGCCAATCGCGATAATGCAAACACAATTTGTATGGTCTCGGACCACTTTCTAATTTTGGTACTAATTCCTTCACAACAAAATCTTCGTCCTTATGGGAGTAACTTATAAATGCATCGTATATCTTTTCCTTGTCTAATTCGTCTTCTGTGACTAACCATAAACAACATTGATGAGCATACAACCAAACTTTGATCTCTTGTTGGTATCTGTAATACAATGCTACTAATCCACCGATGAACAAGCACAATAATGCTATCGTAAAACTTATTCCAATTATCATCATCGTCTCGAACGGACAAAAGTCATTAATGCTCATCTCCAACATAGAAATAGCCATGTTATTGCACATGACCTTCCCTAAATCTGGAATGTCTATTAATTTTGATTGAACGAAGCTAAATAAGTCTCGAGCATCGCAATCGCATTTCCATGGGTTCTTATGCAATGTAAGTCTCTTTAATGTAATAGAATTTTTCCAATAGTCCAGTAGATTCGAATCGATCCTCGATATATTGTTGTTATGCAATTCTAATACCTACAAAAGAACAAGAAATGAAACTTCACTAATTCAAGAAAGAAATAAAGAAATATTTGACAACATACCTCGAGATTTTTGGGCAATTTGTCGAGCGTAATTCGAGTGATATTGTTGTTGGACAAAATGAAATCCGTCACGTATTCCGATCCTAAAAGTTCTGTCGAGGGTATCTCAGTGAAATTATTTCCACTGATATTCAATTTAATATGATAACCATCGACAGGTTTTTTATCGCTTATTCCCGTAGTGTCGATTAATAATTGGGATAAATTTTTATTAGAGCAATCTATTAAACGAGCCTTGTCTTCTGGTTGTATCCGACAGGTACAACCAGTCGGACACTTGCTTTTTATTTGCAAGTATTCCGTCTCGGCACATTTCAAGGTCTTCGAACTTAGTTTACTAATTTCTATCTCACTCGTTCCATTTGATTCCAAGCACGTTAAATTTCCCGGAATAATGTGAAAGTAATTTTGTACTTTTGGATGCATCCTACCTTCGAGATAACGTAAAAAATTGTACAAATTACAATCACAGATCAAGGGATTATGTTCAACGTAGATGATAACGTCCCGTGGAGTCTCTTGATAAATTCGAATACTTTCGGCCAATAATATGTATTTTATTTTATTATTAGTCAGATTGACTTTAATATTGTTCGATACGAATTGCAAATCGTCCATCTAGAGAAAAAGAGAAAGAAAACATGACAAAAGATGAAGAAAATATTAAAATGATTGTATTATTTTGTAATCTTATCATTTTGATTAAAGAAATATTTGTAAATTTATGATTGACATTGAAAAATGATATTTACCGATATAACACTAATGTCGTTATAACTCAAGTCTAATACGTGCAAATTCATTGCATTTAACGACCAATCGTTGGATATCGTCGATATATAATTGTTCGATAAGTATAATTCATTGAGTAAATAACATTTATTAAATGGCGACTGATAATCCTCCTGTATTCCATATAAATTGAACGTAAGCTTGTTATGACAGAATTTGGCTATTCGTAAATTTCTTACGGAAGAAAATGCCAATTGATCGATGGTTTTTAATTGATTATTTTCCATATTCAATTCGGTCAGGGATTTCAAACCGTCGAATAGATATCTGAAAGATATTTCATTCAATTGATTGAGCGAATAGCTAAAGAAAGCAAGAAGGTGGGCGAAAGCATATGAAATATTGAAAAATAACTTACGGAGATATAGAAACCATACGATTGTTAGACAAATCGAGTTTAGTCAATTTGTTCATGTTGTAAAAGATTCGATCGGGAAGAGCTTCAATGTGGTTGAAACTCAATTGGACTTTTTCAACATTTGTCAGTCCTTTAAAGATATCCTTTGGTAGAGTATAAAAGAAGTTCCTATCCAGACTGATGTTCTTCAACGATTGACCACCCCAGAATAGATTTTCTGGTAAAACTTTCAAACCATTATTTGTCAAGGAAACTATTTCGAGTTTTGTCAAATTAGCGAACAAATGATCCGGCAGAGTGGTTAAATTTCTACGATTATTGGACAATTTGACTTTTCGTAAGAATACGTTATGATCGAAAAGTCCTTCCGGTAGGGAAGAGAAATTGTTGGAAGAAAGATTGACGGTCTCTAGTTTATTTAATTGACTAAAAACGTTCGGCGATAGGATCATTAATTTATTCATGCTTAGATCCAAAGATCTTAAGGAAATCAATTTGTCGAATAATCCAGTTTCTATTTCCGTCAATCGGTTATCCCAAATGTTTAGAAAATGAAGTTTTTCTAATTTATCGAAGGTCCCAGTTTTGATCGTCTTCATCCCATTGTTACCTAATTCGAGAACTTTGAGATTTGGAGTTGCATCAAAAATACCAACTGGTAATTGGAGATTATTTTCACGTAGATCAAGCCATTCCAATTCCGGGAAATCCATCAACAAATCCTTTGGGACCTTTGAGAAGCCGTTACTGGATAAAATTAATTTTTTCGTCTTTGGAAAGCCACGAACTTGATCTCTCGTTAACTCATCGCCAAGATTAGAGTAGGATTGAAAGAGAAGCGTGTTGACACTTTCCACTCCCATTTGTCTGGCCACGTCTCCTAAACTTATGTTCTTCGATAGCCCGCATATTCGGAAACGCAGCGAATCTAATTCTTTTCCAGGTAGGGTGCTCGTGAAACGAAATTTCTCCCACCCTTTCCAATTCTGACAAGTGATCTGTTGATTAATCAAGTTATTTATTAGAAAAAACCTTCCAAACTTCTTTCGCGCGATCCAATATTAGTTAAATCAAAAATATCATTCGTGTATGCGTACCTGCAAGAAATCTTGTGGATAAATGTTTAGAATGAACTCGGAATTATTTTCAGCTTGGCAAAAAATTTCTATTCCACTCGAATAATTTGGTTGGCACGTGCAATTCTGGTCCCCTTTACATTCGAAAGCAGAGATATAAGTTCTTGAAAGTGTAAACAACGATATTATTCCCCAGATTATGAAAATCATTGTTTCTTGCCAATGATTTTCAGATCCGCTAGAAAAGAAAAAACAAAAACATTCTGAATAATAAAAAAGAAAAGAAAGAAATGTTATTTACAAATGTTTAGATTACAGTTAAAATCGGAAATAGCTTGTTTCGCAGCTTTGCAGATAAAAAAAGACGTTTCCTCTCTCACATGATAAGCCAATTCTCGTTTATTTTTGTGTAATTATTACTCCAATTGCAATTAGATATACGTTATAAATAGTCTAGTTTGTACATTTGTTTTTCGGTCACTCTGTATATATTTGAAAATGTAAAAAATACTAATCGGACGATTCCATAGTGTCGTTGCAGTTATTATGACCTTATTCTCTCTCAATCTCTCGTTCGATGATTTCACTTATAGAAAGAAAAAGAAATACCATATTTTATCATTATCAAGAAATTATTTTGTTTTCTATCTTTTGGATATACATCATGGAAAAAGCATTCGATGGTGGACAAGAATAAAGTGTGTACGTTAATCGAATTTTAAAACAAATCACGTTCCTTGTCGTCGTTAGATCCGGGTAACGACCTAGTACCACCCGTGTAAATACGTGTGACTATAGCGCGCAAATGAGCTTAAATGAAATTGTGGTAGGATCCCACGAGTTTCTTTCCTTTTTTAACCAAGCCATTTTTTTTCAGCTACGCCGTAATTTTGTTATGTAAAGAAAAGAGAAAGTATAGAACAGTGTTATATTTATTATACATACAAGATGATTCACGCCGATGAAAAACATCGAAAGCAAATAACGCGCATTCTTTGTACCCGTTCGTTCATATCATTCAACTTTTGCATACATTTTTTTTACTCAATTTCTTCTTACATTCATTTATTATTAGTTTATTATTACTTCAATCTTATTTGAACTAACCCTGTATACCGTTTATGTTTATCGTTCTAATATCGATGATTTATAATTTTTACATTATTTAATACATAATTCAGAACTTTCATCTGGATCTTTCAAATTTGATTTTATTTCATAAATCACTCCTAATAATGTCATAATTATAACAAAATTTCGGTATACGGTAATCTATTTAAACTCGATACCTTCTTAATCGTGAAATAGGAATAGAGAATTAGAGAGAGAGAGAGAGAGAGAGAGAGCCAGTAAATTCAAGGTCACCTTTTATACTTATTCGTCGAACAATTCGATCCTATGAAGAATTCTCTTGAGAACACACACACACACACTATTATCGATTAATTAAACGATAAAAAAACCTTCCAATTCTTTTTTTTCTTTTTCCTCCTGTGAATTGTAATAAATCAAACTAATGTCATCAAGTGAATATCAAATCGAGATCGGATATCATTTTTTCTTTCATTTTTGTATCTAAAAGCGAGAAACTTTATCTATAATATTATTGAAAATGTATAAATAAGATCGCAAACATTTTGAGGATTGATTAACGAAGAAGAAAAAAATATCTAGCGAAAGTGATTAATTTACGTGACGATAATCGATCTTGATTGTTCCTTTTGATTTATCACGGATACGTAAGTAAAATAAATACAATGGTTATGATCGACAATTTTCTATGATTAATGAATAAACTTGAAGGATATTATGAAACATTATTTTTTATTTGATAGGAAAAGAACAACGAAATAGACGTTTCTTTGTAATATTGACAATGTACTCGTTGTCTCCATCACGTTCGAATACTACGTTAATGCGATTTTTGTATACGCGATCTGGATTTTTGTATAAGCGATCTGAATTGTTGTTTTCCAACTCTCTCTCTCTCTCTCTATGTGCAATATTAATAATATTATTCTAAAATTAATATCAGCTTTTATTTCCGACAGAATCTATTTACGCGAGTTAAGCATACTCACTCGTTCGGTTTGAATAATGATACTAATAATCGTCTTCAAAGAATTCTGTTTCTCCTTAAATCTTAATTATACCTCTGTTCTGCAGTCTAGTCAATTATTTCGTCAAGGATACAAGCGTAAAAACTTTTTACATACAAGTCTTTGGAATATTCTTTTATCCTTATATAGACACGCATTGGACGCGAAATTATAACAAAATGTATGATTAACTTATGATTAATTGTAAGTAGCAAGAAGGGATTAAAACCAGAAATAATATAATTTTTGTTAATCGAAGATCAACAAATTGTTTGTTCTCATTATTGCGTGACCGTTTCAAGGTTTTATTTCTAGTAAATGCAGGATGGTTCAAAAGTCGTTAAAACGTTTTCAAGTATAATTACTTTTTGACTATTAATTATTTGTTCAGAGTCAAGAGAAAATAATGACGTAGATATAAAATTATAGAATTGCGCGCGGTTTGTGGATGATGCCAGGTTACGGCAACAAAGACGTTTGATTAGCTGAACTGTTGTGTGATACGTACGAGTGGGTAGATTTGGGACGAGTATTTTTAAGTATTACGCTTAAATATATGTACAATCGTTCCAAGATTAATTCAAATCGCATCATGTCAATTCAATCGCAACTTCAGGGGCGACCTTTGTTACAAAGCATAACCGAATGCGTTAACAACGTAGTACTCGATTATACAAAATATCGATTCTTTCTATCTCGATGGTTGTAGGATTAGTTCGAAATATAGAATGAAATAAAGCATTTATGCGGTAATGAATTCCCTGCTATGTGTCGTCTAGGTCAGCGATTAAGACATACTCCAAAGTTCCTATCTCTCTTTCTGTACAACACACAGACGTGTGATAGAAAAAGAGGAATCGATAAAAAATAGGAGGAACGACAAAAATGATAATAGATAAGGCAAATAATCTCCTTCGATATTTTCCCTTCGCAAAAAGAAATAATCTTCTGGTATGAAGTCACTTCTCGTTTTGTAAACTTTGTCAAATCTTTGCTCGAATCTAAATACTCGGAATACAATGTTGGCTACGTTGCAATATTGCGCTGTGTTCGGTTGATAAATAATGATCTTCGTCACATGTGTTGATTGTATTTCTTGAAAATTATATAACGGGAACGGCATGTTTCTACATGAATTTCATTCAAATCTCCAAAATATACTGTATTTCAAGATTGAGAGATTTAAGTGGAGAAAAATTCATTAGCGATTTATGCTTGCTTGGATCGATAAATTGTAAGGCTTTTCTAAAGAATACAAATATCATATGTTTCTCGGAAAGACTCGTCTGCGAGAGAGAGAGAAAGCAGATATATATATATATATATATATATATATAAGAGACTACAGAACGTAACTTCGAGATTATGCGTCAAGTTCTATCTCGAACAATATTGCAACCGATTTCGTGATCGTGTCTCCTCTACAAAATTGGATATCACTGATAGATCATTGACTAGAATACTAATTAATTATTAATAGCGATCTCGTAACGTTAGCTAGCATATTTAATCGTCGTTTCGGATATGAGAAGAATTTGAACAATTGGAAATTGTAAAGACGATTTGTTACTTTTCAAATGAAAAAAAAAAAAGAACAAATAATGGAATTTTGAAGCAACGTGTAAGGGCAGCAGTAAAAACCGGTTTCCTTCGTCTTCCCGCGATGACGCGAATCCGGAATCACGATTCTACTATACTACTCACCAGAATCAATTTAGATGTTATTTCTCGGTCATATATCCTCGATGCTGTTTAAAATTTGAATCGTAAACAGTAGATCGTAGGCATCGCGTGCCACTTTGTACTTCCTTTGATACGATCTCAACAAAGATAGTTACGTATTAATAAGTGATTAAAATCATCAATCGCTAAATCTCACAAAAGATAATTAAACACGAGACACTTGAGCATAGGAGAAAAAAAGTAACACGCACTCTTCGTATACGCTTGACGTAGACTGACGATATCATCTCGCGGACGCTTAATGTACTCGTTTCCTTTCGATAGCGGCCACTCACGTGACCTCCCTAACAAAGCACTCCATTGGTCGGCGCTCCCATGTGACTCGACGGTTCAAATTGCTCCTTAAATTCGAATGATTTATCATTTATTATTTACCGATTATTATACAATCATTTTTAACATCTTTTCCTAGGAATATTTTTGCTGCTATCAACAAGAACTATTATATGTCTGAAAATAATGATCTTCTTAAATTTATCTCAAGTCGCATAGTTTAAAATAATAAATACCTCCTTCGGATTACTCGCACTTTTTCGAGTATAAAAAGTATACTTATTTAAATCTGTGTGTAAATGAAATAATGTTAAAAAAAAGTTTCAAACCATAGACAAATGTCTTAGACAAATTTTATATTTTTCATTATTACTTTCTCCATGACTTTTCATTGTAAAAATCATTCGACATGTCTGTGGCTTTTTCATTGTTCTTTTATAAATGCGTTTCTAGTATTCCTATTAATTTCTGGATTTTCCAAGTGGTCACTAAACATCATCGATTTATTGACTGCATATAGAAAATATAATGAAAGTTTTTTTCTAAAGAGAAATTTAATAGTAACAATAATACGTTATTTTTATAATAAAATTATTTTTCTCTAGGGTATTCTATTAGATTGTTCGGAAAGAGTTCGTGCCAGTTTATAAATATACAAAATATACAAGTCTTACACACTTGTGATTTTTCCTTTAAAATTATCGAGAACCGCAAATTTGGACGAGTACGAGTATATAATCATTTGCCATCAAGGGCTAGTTTTTATCCGGAAACTTTTGGAAAAACCCAGTAAAAATGTTCTTGGCAAAAATATACCAAGCAAAAAGATTCTTATTAAATTAAAATCGTCAATGGTGGCGAACGTATTAACCGATATGTAACCGGTACTTGCTCGATTTAGATAGATTATTTGGAAATACCAATTTTTTAAAGAATATTATCTATGAGACATGATTCGACGTGTTGGAAAAATTGACAAAGCATTGACGGTAACATTGGTAATTTTCTACATATTTACGCATTAAGAGAAGATGTTTTGAACGAGCACATATTTCTTTATAAATAGTCTTACAAAACTCTGAGAGACTTTTGAACTTCTTATCGATGTAGTTACGTTATACTATTAAATTATCAAACTATGAAATGATGAAAGAAATACAATCATGTTAAATTATATATTATTCTTATTAAATATATATCCTTTTTTTCTTTTTCTTTTTTTGTAATAGGAATCGCAGTGTAGGGCAGAATTTGAATGGTACACAAACGTAACTTGCATTCATCGAGCCAACATGGAATCAAAACTTAGTTTAGCAGATAAACAACTAAATATTCAGAGTTCTTCTAGTCATGGCAAGTAACTATTATTATTATGCAAATGAAATTTCTTGAAAATTTCTAAATTTATTAAGTAAATACGAAGAAATAATTAATTTTTATTAACAAATAAATTTGTTCTATTTTCAGCCGGCCTAATCGCTGGTATCGTAATTACCGTATGTATGTTCCTCCTAGCTATATTGTATTATCGGAATCCAAATAAAAGGGCCTGCTTGCATTCCTGTTTTCATTACTGCAATTCCAGAAGAGGAAGTGGACGCGTCCAATACTGCAGGGTAACTTTGTCATATCTAATATTTCCCGTTTATAAACATATTCAGATATGTTCGAATAAAGAATTTGAAAAATGTCCATTTTCTTGACGACTTTATCTATCATTTTATTTTTAGGTAGGCACTACCGAACAGGCTCATCTTTTATTAGATCCTAACAACGATCCGACACAATGTCAATCAGATAGCGATGATGATATTTTGGATGCATAGTAGTATTATTATTCAAATCATTTGATACATATGTTTTATTTCAAGAACAAAGCGATGCGGCGGTGCTTAATATTTTGGAATATTTTAATCGCATAAAATAATATTACACTGTTCTTATTGCACAGTGATAATCTAAAAATTATGAATATCTTATAAACCAAATACGTGTTACCGATAATAATCGTGAAAAAAGAATCGCGCATGTAGATAACAACAACTAATTGTGAACAAGAGTGAAATAGCAATAAATTGGATACAATTATTATGTATAAATGTTAACTTATATTATAAATAAATATTATTTACGCTAAAAAAAAAAGAAGAATTTCTTTAAAACGAACATGTCATTTTTAATTACATCTCAAGTATACTTTAATAATGCAATAAAAAAACGGTGATACGCAATATGAGATAATCTTTCGCATGAAAAGATTTTTTAAAATGCTATCATCACTGTAATTAAAAACAGTTAACATTTTGTTATAATACTATATTTCGAAACATTAAATATATATATATATATATATATATATAGAATTTTACCAATACATTTACATACAAATAGATATGACTATTGATTATCAATTAAAATAATATTGATTGTTATTCATTTGTTGATCGATAAAGTCTAATGAAGTATACAGCAAATTAAATGCATTATTTATGAAAAGAAATATAATAAAATTACATAAAGAAATAAATAGAAAAATTATCCTATACCTGTACACTGAGCAAGTATAAGCTGTACATACATTTACTACACAAGCTGTACATCTAACATAAAGAAATAATTATTTTCATTTCTCAATCGTTAACGACTTATAAAGCAACAATTCTATATATATATATATGCATATATTTAATTGTTACTTTATTTATCATAAATGTATCGATACATATACGTATGGATTATATATGTACTTATCTGTGTAATCATTTAACAGGGATACAACTCCTTTCTTTTTTTACATTTTTCCATTATCATTTGTACATTTGTTATATATTGCAAGGAGAAAGACATTGTCTATAGTTGCACTAAATATTTCAATACTATTGCAAATTTGTACACACACACACATATAGAAATTGAACAACTTTACAACAACTTAAGAATAACAATCGTCAAAGCTAAATCAATTCTATAATACTTCTTTTTAACCAAAATCTTATTAACTTGTATTATTATATAGACGACTATTATCAATCTTATGATCTGCAATCAAATAATTACTTTATTTAACTATTTCAGAGACTCTGTTTCCATTTCATTAATTACGAAATCGATCAATTTTGAAGGAACATTCCTGTTTTTGATTAAATCAAATATATGATAGTTCTTAGTCTTAAATAAACGTAAGTAAAATATATATTTATAAAATCGATCTATCTTACACATTTTATGAATGTAATTTGTTCGCCATTTTTTGATGGTTCTCATCAAGCAACAATAATTACAAGATAATATAGGACCAACTATATGCATAGATCTAACAGCGTTTGATTCAAAATGGATGATACATTTATATCTGCCGATGGATAGATAATCACTGCAAGTTAGAAGGTCATATGATAAACAGAGATATAAAAAAATACTTTCTGGAAGTACTCCTTTCTTGTAAATGGTCAAACTTCATCGATATTATTTATTACGTCATAAATCATATTCTAGGAATGTAAAAATCAAATATAATAAACATAATAAAACATTAACGTTACTTTTCAAAACTTGATCGATTTTGAAAGGAATTATTTGAAGAATTAAATGAATGTATCATTTCATAATGACACATTTTGGAAGCCAGAATCTGTATGACCGAGATGATTTAATCCTATAAAATTAAATTAACTAAATACATTTACTTTCACAAAAATCATTTGAATGATTATGTAAGAAAAAAATATATCAAATAAATATAAATATATCTACATCCTTTCGTTTAAATGGTATAAAAAATAGATAATACCATTTAAGATGGAAGATATTTTTCGCTTTCGCTAATGCATAACCATTTTATAAAGATACTATATTGTTAACTTTTTACTGATCTTGTCAGTTTTGTCTTCTCCTGATCGCAAAAAATACCTACAAAGGAATAATATTTGATATATCAATTCTGCATTACATAAATTAGTATGCACTTTCTATCAAATAGAAAAATGTATTATACAAACCTATGGATACTACACAGTTAGAATTCAGAATATAGTTTCTTTATTGTTATTGTTTTATTTTTATTCTAATCCACCTTCTTCTTCTAATTTCGAGAGAAATTTCGGTACTCTGTAATTAGGCTCTACTTGACGAGCCATATCTATCAGGCTTAATAATTTCTTTATACCGATAAATATACTAGAATGAGAAAAGAAAAGTTGAAGTTACTTTATAATCTGTTAATAACAGCAATCAGTAAAAAAAAATAGTAATTTAATAATGCGTTACCGTTTCCCTTGAAGTTTTCCATGTAAAGATGTCATTTCTTTCTTCGAGAATAAATCTACTTCTTCTAAGACATTCAAGAGATGTTCGGGTGTAGATAAATTAGGTACGTGAATGGTACTACTGAATGCTGACAATACTTCCATGTCATCCAATACTTGTCTGGAATGAAAAAAATAGATATATTGAATAGAAATATTTTATATAAATGATTTATTTTTCTTCGTATAAAAAATTATTTACCTGCGACTTGAAGTGCAAAGAATCAATAATTTACGACCACGCGGTGGTTGCTTCTTTAACAAAACAAGAAGTGCCTGCAACGTTAAATTCGAATAACGTGGCCCAATAGGTCCATAGTCTAATAAACGTTCAATATTGTCAACCAAAATGCAACTGAGTTGCGAACGATATGCATCATCGAATACCTGCAAGATATTAGAAAAAATATTTTCATTTGGTGCATCAAATTTAAATATAAATAAAAACAGTAACCGTACCTTCCGTATTAATAGACATTTAGCTGATTCGGTGAATCCAACCATATCTTCTGGAGTGCAAACCTTAACAAATGGAAAGTCTGAATTTTTAGCAATTTGTGCTGCAAGAGCTGTTTTTCCACTGTTAGGAGGTCCCTCTAAGAGAACCGAGACAAGACCTGAACCTTCCGCAGCACGTGCTTCTTGTATATAAAGCAAACCATCTGATAGAATTTCGGTAACTGGTCTTCCCCAAGAAATAATGCCACGAATAAGTAAATGGTCAAGAGCTTCCGCGCTTGTACCGAATGCCTATAAAATTATTCATCATTATTATTATCTCATCTGATTTTTATGATTTATTTACTTTTTTGACAGTATAAATATAAGTAAAAATTTACTAACTGGCTTAACGTCATTTTCAAGAGCGTGCAAAAAGTCGGCTCTAGAAACCATAAGTTTTTCCATTGCAGCTGGATCTACTTCGACTTTACTCGAAGCTTTTATTAATCTGTTCATAGCTGTACTTTGTGCAGCTCTTACTAGGCCTTCAAGTTCAGCACCACTAAAATTCTTAGTTTTTGTTGCCAATTCTTTTAAATCTACATCTGGTGATATTTTCTTGTAATCCTTCATTCTAGATGTATGAATGTTAAGAATTTGTAATCTTCCATTTTCATCTGGTAAACTGATTTCCATTTGTACCTTTAAATATAAATAGTTTTAACGTAACGATAAATGTGGATTTTGTATTGCGTCTATATTTTGCTTACCTCCAATCTACCAGGACGTAAGAGAGCTTCGTCAATCATATCTCGTCTATTGGTCATACCAATAACAAGTATATTATTTAATTGTTCGACGCCATCAATTTTTGCAAGTAACTGATTGACGACCGTATCATGTACTCCTGTATTACCGGCTACGCTGCCTCTAGACTTACAAATGGCATCGATCTCGTCAAAAATTATAATGTGTAGTCCGCTGTTTGGACCAAGCTGAAAATTATTTAATGTTATAATAACTATATTCTATACATATTAATAAATAAAGCAGACATACTCTCTTTTCTTCATCTTCCGCATCGGCAAATAATCGTCTAACGTTGGCTTCGCTTTCTCCAACATATTTATCCAAAATTTGTGGACCATTAACAATTTTCGGCTCTCTTGCATTCAACATGGTACCTATTTGTCTTGCCATCAATGTTTTTCCTGTTCCTGGTGGACCATAAAGTAAAATACCCTTAACGTGTTTGCAACCCAATTGAGTTACAATTTCTGGGGGGAAAACTCTTGATGCAAATGCTCTTCTAAAGATAGCACTGAATTCCTTATCTAAACCACCAATCCCCATCTTTTGGAAATCCCAATCTGGATTAATAATTGACTGTCTAACTATTTTTCCCTTTGCTTTTCCAATCAGATTTATACTGGAATTTTCTGCTTTTTCAAACTGTATAACGGTATCACCCAAGCAACGACCCATTTCTGTTTTCTTAGGCGTTGGATTCTGTCCTGATTTAAGCGCAGAAAGGTCAGCAGCTTCTAAACTTTTAACTACAAGGCCAAGCATTTTTTTGTCTTTAAACTGAAATACCAGCTGCTGACCAACGGTGAATGCCTGTCCCGAAAAGCGTAAAAGGAAATCTTTGGCCATCTCATCTGTATTATATGGTTCCAACGATGTTCTTAAAAAACAAATAAATATATATATATATATATATGTATATGGAATATCTCCTGCTGAATAAAAACCAAATAATAATGATAAACAAGACGTACGACTTCTTTTGTAAAAAGTCAGCTTCCAAGATGATATTGCATAAGCATTCTGAACTGGATGTTGGATCAAAGTAGTAAGGTCGAACTTCGATCTCTTGTCCAAGAGAAAGCGTAGCCCATTTGCGTTGAGGCAAGCTAAACCCGACTGCTCCATTAGGTACATCTTGATGATGTTTTACGGTAAAGACAAAATGATGATTTGGGTCGGTGATTACTTCTATGTGTCTAGAGATACGAAACGTTAAATATAAAATTGGTTATAACGTAGTTACTGATATTAAATTAGTGTATATAATTCGAATCTAATCTTACTTGACATCTTCTGGAAAATCATCAGGATTAATGATAGCACAGTTGGTGAGACTAAGCTCGTCTGTAGGACATCTCAATGCGTTCATGCGCTAGAAAAATGAAAGACAAATTAATGTTAAATTTAGTACTTTATGCATAGTAATTAATTACTTATGCACAGTATTGATGTAATGAGTCAGAAGACAGGTCACTCAATACTATCTCATTAATAAAAAATGAATATGTCCTAAAATACGAAAATTGTCTATTTTGATTTTGACTATTGGCACATAAATAAATAGCAGGACGAAATATAACGAAATAGTTTAGATATGTATGGGAAATGAAAATGAATATTCTTACCATCGTGAACGTTATTTTTGACAGAAACGTGTAAGCTCAGGCCCCTACGTAGTATGAAACCTGCAATGCAGGCAAGTAGGACTACCGCTATTGTCTGGAGAAAAATCCCTATTACTATCAAATATCTATCAAATGTATATATTCTCTAAACGAATAATTATATAATCTAACGATTGTTCTAATGGAATATTTGTAATGTTTTAACAATTTTATAAAATAAATCAATAACAGATGAAAACTTTGACGCGATATTCCTAACAATTGCCAATATTCAAGTATAGGGATTATTTTTTGGAAATATTTCCTGTCTTGCGCGGTTGTAGGACAAAATAAGAAAACAATCAATAGGTTTTGATCAGCTGACGAGTATTCGTTCAAAATCATTGATTTTTAAGGATAGATACAAGTGCAGTCAGATTTTCTCTAGCACTTTTAAGGATTTTTATATATACACATCCATTATCATAGAATACATCTTTATAATAGGTTTTTATTAATGTTATTCTTTGATGCCTTGCCGAGAGTAATTTAATAATAAATAATCGTAATTCGTAAATAAAAATTACTTAATATTCTTCCATGAAATTGAAAACGTTTTATTTCAAAATATATATTGAAAGATATAAATTGTTAATTACATATATGTTATATCTAAAGATTGAAAAAGATATAAAAGTGATTTACTTAAAAGCTTCCGGAGGTACATCGTTCAGGGTATACATTTGTGTAAAATTAGTAATTGCCCGTCTTATATCCCAATTAACATCATCTAAAAATTTTAAACAAAATGCTGAGTTCATGGATGTTAGTTCTTGTAGAAATACAATTAGTTGACTTTTCTCTGATGGACTAAACATAGTTGGAACAAACGCGTATATATTTTTAACATCTTGTTTGGTTTTGTTATTTATCTGTGTTAGAGTATTGGGATTAGATCCATCTATAAAATATTGATCGTTAGTTATACAATATTCGTTGTCCTCTTTACCAACTATAATAAATGTTCTATTGAATACCATAGGAGAAGAAGAAATGTTTTTATATAAAAATATTCCTTGAACGGATATAGCTAAAAGATCATTAGTTTCGTATAATAAATCTATATTAAATGTATGGAGGTCGTGCGATGTGGAAGGTTGACGCTTCAATGCGGATATTATTTTATCAGGACCACGTAATAAAAATTCATGACATTTGGCATAATCGACAAATTTGAGTAAATTTCTATTAGTAACAAATACTTTAGCTACTTGTTTATGCAAATAATTAGTGACGGTTCCTAAAGTCATAGAGTAAAGCGCATTTTTATCGTATAGACCGTTCATTATGGATCTGTCTTCTTGATCATACATAATAAAAAAGTGTTTAACAAATTGTTTTATTAATGGTAATTTGGAACCATTTCCTAGATAATGAGTTTGTAAATTTGGTATAAATTTCTTCTCCATACCTATTATTACTCCGTCCAACTTTTGTAAATGTTGGAAGATATTTTTGACTGCTTGTATATACTCTTGCGCGTTCTTATATTGAGCACACAAGGGATTTCCATCCAACCAAAGTTCGGTTATCTTAAATTCGGAAAAATATCTTAAATACTCGACATCTAATATTTGATTAAATCTTAAATCTAGTTTAGTTAAATGAAAATTAAAAATCTTTTCGAATAATATAATGGCCGTCAAATTGTTATGTTTCATACTTAACTCGCGAACGGATAATTTAGATTCACGATTATTGCCCGCAATACCTTGTCTGATAGATCTTAGAACAATATGAAATATCTTAGGTATAGATATAGGGCAATATATAGAAGCTAATAATTTATCGTTCTCAAAGTCGTCCAGATTAAGTATCTTTTTTGCTGACTCGTATCTTTGATAAAAGGTTTGCGCTATTATTTTGTTAAGATTAATAGGTAATTCTCGTTTGGTAATGAATCCTAATACAATGTCTATATATATTTCAAAACCACCAGGTAATAATATGCACAACTGTTGCTTTACGAGATTCTCTATAGCGTTAGAATTGCATTGGGCAAGAAAAGTACTTTTACTTTCGTTTTCTTTTTTATATTTGACAGGTAGTAAAATATCTGGTTCGCAAGCATTTATAATTGCTTTCAATATCTCCGCTTTTCCATGAGGTTGATAACTAAATATAATAAACTTATGCCATACATCTTGACGTGATGCTACTGCAAGTTTTTCGGTATCCAAGGATGGTTTCAAGTGTGTCAACCTCAATGGTTCTCCAAACACGTCATTATTCTTCGACGTTGACATTTTAATATTATCTACTTTTTAAACTATATTTCGAGTCACGATTCAATTTTGAAAAAGTTCGTATATATGTAAGAAATGTTTAGGCCACATTGTATTTTGTTGATATCACTTAGTAATATGTTTGGTTAAGTTCAATCTAATCTTGCTTACTTGCAATGCACCAATGAAAATATGCAATTTTTGTCAAGGGAGACGATTGGCGCTTGTCTTATATAATCGATCTATCGATCGATTCTTCTTTCGATCTCGACCCTCGATATTTGACCATCTTAACGCGAGAATGCGCTGTAATCGAATCTCTTTATATTAGAAAGAGTATTTCTTCTCCGTCATTAGTGCGGTGGTAAGGAAGCTGATATGTGTAGAAGTGATTGGCAGTAAAGCGTGATTAGAAGAGAGATCTCTGGAGAAATATACGGCTGTCAAAAACGCGTTACACACCTTTTAACCTATTATTCGCGATAGATACCTTTAGGTAAGAAATTCTACACTTGCTATTTCTACATTTATCATTTTCCATTATATCGAAAATAAATGTAACGTTACGTATTGCGCGAAGCGAAGTTTTATTGATTTTCTACTTTTATGTTACTTCGACATTTACTCTGGTGCCATTTAAAGAGTCGACTTATTTTAATCACATTTGTCAATTTAATTACAATTGTTTTGTAAAATCTAAGCATCGGGTACGAGTATCTTTGTATTTTTTTCTAGACATTATTTTAACGATAGCAGTAAACCTGATTTTTCTTCTAACAAGATTTTTCTTCGAGATCTTACAAACGATTGTTGCATTCCATTGAAGACACATCATTGGACTATTCTATGAAATCATTCTTCGTAATATTCTTTAGATTTTTCTACTTTTTTCATTTGCTTTTCAAACTGTCATTGCTCTATCTGTCATAATGCATAAGGTTAGGAGTCATCTTCTATCGTATCCTGTTTCACATATATGTATATCTCTACTTTATTATCTTTCCTTTTACCCTCCGAATACCTTACGACTCGTTTTCATTTCATATTCAATTTTAATTAGAAATGAATCAAATTATAAACAGCAAATATTTCTTTTACGTACTCATATATACGCGCTGGTTATCACGACATGCAGTATTTAACGGAGTAAACTGATATGATTTGTATAATAAAGATAAGAGAATAATCTTTGCTATTTATGCGAATTATTATCTATATCGTATTAATCATTTATATGAAATTCTCTCACTTGTAAGTTGTCGAAAGAAGGTGGTGAGAGCAACATTGCGCAACGTAAAATATTGCACAATAATATTGATCGGAGTCATTTAAGTCGATGAGGTCAAGTATATACTAAATACACCGCTATCAAATTAGAAACTAATTAGGAAGAGTCGAAATATTTGTTATTTTATGGTTTTAAATTCGAACAATCGATTTCTCGCTAAGAAATCTTTACATATGCATCATGTACGCGTATTTATTTCTATAGATGCGCGTGTACAGTTTCAAAATCGCATCATCAAATGAATGTCGAAAAGCGACGCTTACTAATTGCAATGACGTAGCCAACGTCATTACGTGTCTAACAATAAGTCTTTTAAAATATTGATTTTCTCACGTCGTGTTTGTATTCTTCTCATAGAATCTATATTTTCTTTCCAACATGTCACACAACAAGTGTCAAATAAAATATTAAAAGAAAAGAACAAAATAATGAATTGTTAAATTGTATGTAAAAGAAAATCGTTGATTCGTTTAGCGTTAACATAGTGTTCTTAACGATGGCAACTTGAATTAACAGGAATACATTTTTGCATAGCGCACGCTAATGCAATCTTTATGCATTACGCATCTTCGCAGTTGCGATCATCGATCAATATTATATACATGCACATGTACTTCCGCTAGATGTCAAGGTGATGTTCATTTTTATTCGAGAAACACATCTTATTGTTATCTATTTAAAAATATTGTAATTTCGTTTTTTTTGTAAGCTTTGATATTACGACCTAGTTTTCGTTATCATTCATCTTTTGTTCGATTGGGTTTGCTCATACGCGCCCCCCCCCTCCCCCGATCGACCGTGATCTTGGCGTCAAAGATCGGGGGAGTAAACTTGGAACCGAGCCAGATATCTCAAGGACAAGGACAAAAGCACTCGATTGACAGCCTAAACTACCTTGGGTTCTACCTCGATCATCCCTTTATCGGAAAAATTGACAAATATCCGATCGAAATGAAAAATAAAAGTTCATTGGTAGGATGTGGAGCAGATAAGGTCGTTCTTTATTTAAGGGGTCGTATTCGGGTCGCATTCACGCATATAGATAGAAATGAAAGAGATCGTAGGTACGGATCCCCATAGGCATGGAATATTCCCTAAATGGGAATTCCCTCGTGGCGAAGGGCAGAGTAAATTCCTGACCTGTACGCGTATCCCAGCTGATCGTTGCGGGCTGGTGCGTACAGCATTGCCGTCGTGGGTGGTTTGCGCTTGCGCGAATTTCGGTGGCTCCTCTGCTTCCCTCGTCCTCGGGTATTGATTTCCCTAAAAGGTTAGGAGGCGGCTTAGATGTGTGTTGTCTACGGTGCCGTTAGCAGCACCCAGTTACGTTTTCCGCGCGCGGATTCGTGGCCCGGCCTCCAAGTGTTGCGCCAACTTTCGCCATCCAACAACGCGTGGTGTCTTTTCTCTCGGTTATTTCGTTTAGTTGCTAACGATACATTCGATCCAAGTGATATCCAACTTTCTCATTTCCATTGATTTCTTTTCCCCTCTGTGTTGCAGGTTGCTGCATCGGTGGACACGTGAGAGATCCTACCTGATCTGACTTTTTTTCTTTCTTCCTTTATTTCTTCTTCCTTCTTTTCTTCCTTTCTTCCTCCCTTCCTTCCTTCCTTCCTTCCTTCCTTCCTTCCTTCCTTCCGTTCTCTTCTTATTTCGGAAAAGGAGTAGACAGGCGAGGGAGAGATTCCTCGTTGCACGAAAGGACCTTCGATCCAACACTTCGGGCACCTTCCGAGATGCCTGCACCAACGTCAGCGGCGGGTGCGGCCGAATGTGGCCCACCTCGCACCGAATTGCAAGAATTACAGCTAAAAGCCGACCAGACCACGGATGAGGTAAGCTTTTTATTCATTAACATCTTGGTCTAACAAATTTCTAATACATTTTTTTTCTAATTTCCTGTTTATTGCTCTTCTCTTGGGTGATAATAATAAACAATTTATCTCGTTTCAGTCCCTGGAGAGTACGAGGCGTATGCTGACGCTATGCGAAGAGGTGAGTTCGTCTCGTCGCTTTCCCCTAAACAAAAATCTCTTTCGTATAAGGATAAAAATGACAAAAAAAAAAAAAAAAAAAAAGGAAAGGAGTCCCCCATTCCACTATCGCATATTAACCCTTCATCCTCGATCATCCTCGATCATCTTCGATTACTATTTATTTACTAATCCTCCGTATCGGGAATCTCCGTGTTTCCCGCCATATTTCATACGCGTCTGACCTATCGTTAGATTCTTTTACGGGTAAATCCCTCGGCGAAAACTCCCTTTTGTCTATCATTTTTAATAAGCTAAGTCAAAATGTGTTTCTTTTTCTTCTTATTGTTAGATATATATATATATATTGCAAGTATAAACGAGTAGTCGTGAAAGAGAGGAACCTCCCCAAAGCCCCTTTTTTAAAAAATCATAAAATTAGGAGAATTTGAAAATACGTGCAGAGAGACGAGAAGACTGTCCTAACTTTTTTCTTATCGCTTGGAGAGGAAAAGCACGAAAAATAAAGAAAGAAAATTTGTTCTCGAGAAAAATTCTATAGAAAGGAACGAGGAAAACGAGGAAAATAGAAAAACAGCGACATGAAATAAATAAATAAAATATAATGATTGAAAGAAGAAGAAAAAGAAGAAGAAGAAGAAGAAGAAGAAAGAGAAGCGGAAGAGGAAGAAGAAAACTGTGGCGAAGAGTAGGAGGCAAAAAGAAAAGTGGAAAGAAAAATGATTAGAGATCGGACATCGAAGTTGACCAACATAAAACCATTGACCATCCTACAAAAGAGAAGACGCGTGGAAAAAGTTTAGAAAACGCGCATTAATATACCCTAACAAAACGCGATATTTTTTTTCAATTCTCCAAAAGTTTCGACCCGACAACCTTTCCCTGTATATATATATATATATATGCATATGCTTATATGTGTGCATATATTACGTATACACGTATTCTCTTAGCATTCCTATTCTTCCTATCTCTATCTCTCTTATTTTTCTTTTTTCCTTCTATCTATCTGTCTCTCTCGCTGTTGAAATTCTGACTTTATTTGTATCGGAAAGTGGCAGCACTGCAGGAGAATTAAAGGCTTTACTTTTACTACTTCGGAAGCCTTTTGGCAAGATTTACGATTCGAAGGAAAGGCGTGTGCAGAGGAAAGAGAACAGACAACGCGTATAAAGGACCTAGAAAAGAAAAACAACTAAATAAAATGATCTTCATTTAGCGAGTATAGGAAATGATAAACGAATTTCAATATATTTCCTTTTTTTCTATCCCACTTATTTATTATTTCTTCTTATTTTTCTTGTTTTATCTTGCATCGAGTCGAATGGTTGATTATTCACGCGATCAAAACGTATAACGGGACTACGATTCGATGAAATAAATGCTTAGAAACGTATTGTTGCACATTGTTTTGAATGCAACTTGCAACAAGCAACTCGGTGGGCAACAACAGCGTTTATCAATAAAGCGTTTGCGAGCTCGCGAACATTACGAGAAGATTGAAATAGCATTGTGTATTCCGTCACGACGAGAATTATGTATAGATGTCGATCGATTTGTTGCGCGACCCCTTTCCTCGATCATTTTTCTTTTATTTTTATTTTCGGGGGAGAAAATAAGTTTTAACCCTTTAGAAAATTTACGGAACAATCTCTTTGATCGGTTACAAAAATACAACAATAATATTAGAGGGTTGTTTCTTTGAAATATAAATATAGTGTGTATTTACTAGTATATTATATTATATTATATTCTGTCTTTTTAACAGGCAGACAAAACTTGGATTATAGAGGATTAAAAGAAAATGCACTTTGATTTTCCTATTGTGTTTTGTTCGTAAGTTATTTCTCGGTTGCCGCCGACGCGTGACACAATAACTCCGTTTCAAAGCTTTTGAAAAAGAAATCAATGTGTGGACGTTGAGATGAAAGAAGCGAAACGAAGGATTTCCCTCCAATATATATACGAATATATATATATATATATATATATATATATATATATATATGTGTCTGTGCATTTTTCTATATGTGCGCGAATTGTGTTTTTCTCTTTCCTTTAATTTCGTGGATTTTCTATTAGTATTATCCGATTAATTGATTTATTACTCTATATCGTCTATCGTTTTCTTTGCATATTTTACGTATGATCGTTTATGTAATTAAACGTGCACTCTTTCATATTATACGTTTCTTTTCATTGTACATAAGAAGAGTGTTGCGATATACCTTTCTGTGTTGCTCTTTTCATCGAATCTTTGTTCACAGGTAAATGTGTTTTATATCGTTGTTTGCATCTTGCTTATTATTCGCGTCTCCTTTTTGATGTCTCTATATCTGTCTGTATTTATCTTGACTATTCTCATTTTGCCTGGTAAATTGTCAATAAATAATTTGTCTCGTGTTCGAAAATCTCCTATGTCCCTTTATATGTATGAATGTAAAAATGTCTCTGGTTACGAGATGCATTCTCTCTTATTTACGTTTCGTCTACGTATGTTAATGATATTTTTGTTCCTAGAAAACAATCGAACCGACTTACTTTCTCGGTAGATTTCGTAAGTTCTCACGAATGGATCATCTCATTCACGTACGTAACTTCATTGAATTTCTTCGCTCGACAAAATGAAATTATCGTTATCGATATTTTTCTTCTCGAAAACGTTGAGTTTCTTCTCCTTCTTCTTCTTCTTTTATTAGTTACCCAACCGTGTTCTAATCTCTTTTCGAGTCTGCGCGACTTGTCTCTCCCGCTTCTTCGTATCGATCATCGGCGATTCGAGTATCTCGACTTGGAGTTTAAATAGACGAGATCAACGCCATTGTAATTTGTTTCAAAAAATCATTTTTCACTATGTACAATAATAATCGATGGCAAAATAATTGAAATAAATCAAGCTATTTCTATAAAAACTAGTGAAAATGATTGCTGTGCTAGTTATACTCTTAAAATACCTTTCGATTAAACAAGAAACGTTGAAATGTTGAAATTCCAAAAAGTTATTATATTTTAAAATAGTCTAGTGACTTTTGTATCACTCTGTACATGCTTTGGAGTTAAACATTCGACGCAATTCAGCTTTAAATCATTTCTCTCTTATCTCAACTGGGTCGGCGGGACAAACTGTCTAAACGAAAATGCTTTTATACAGCGAACGATTTGAAATCCTATTGAAAATTTAGATTTCTTTGTAGGTCACGTAGCGCTCGAAAAAGAAATAGCTTCGATTTTCATTTCCTTACAGTTGTTATACTTTTTTCTTTTCCCCTATGTCAATCCATTTTCTTTTGAGATATATTTTATTCTGGTTCTTCTCTCCGATCGATTTCAAAGAGTATTACATATTTGTTCATGTATCTATACACATGAATACTATGTATTATTTGTTCGCTAACCCTTTATAGTTAGATTTCTTTCCACGATTATAAAATAATACAAAATGAATTCTCATATATCGAGTCGAATACGTTAAAATGTACAAACATTAACCGATCGAGTCTCGATATCGTTTGATTGAAAATTCTTTCAAGATTAATAATAAACAGAACAGGATGTGTTTTATACGATAGTCGTCATACGTCGATCAACACGTCGACGAACGAGTCGTTTCAGAGAGCAAAGTAAACGCCTGCCTGCCTGCCTGCCTGCCTGCCTGCCTGCCTGCCTGCCGGACTGACCTATATCCAGATGAACATGAAACACGAGGGAAACACGAAATATGAACAAACAACGTATGAACGGAAAAGAAGAAAATCTAATGAAAAGAATAGACAAAACTTGACAAAAAAAAAAACAAAACGACGAATAATCAATTATCAAATGGAAGATAAGTCATTCGCGAATACGATATGCACGGGACGTGTGTGTGTGCGTGCGTGCGTGCGTGCGTGCAGGTGTGTTTTTTCAGAAAGAAAAAGAACGCCCCATTCGCTTAAGAATTTACTTTGGTTTTTTAATTCGCGATATATCACACGAATTCGCATCGACTTTGTATCTCGCGTTCAAAATGAGATTCTCGCGAAAGAGATCTAATATTTTTAAAGACAAAAATAACTTATATGAAATGAGAAATGAAAGAAAAACTGAAAAGCAGAAACGTCAAATCCATGTTAATGTGGCTGTAATCGGGCCTCTCGATATTGTCCGTTGCAGAATGCGTAAATATCTACATGTACATCTATATCTGTATTTATATGCGTGTAATTCACGCGTACATTGTGTGGCCGCGTGTGTCCGCTTGTCTGACTGGCAAATAACTATAATAAATGCCTGCTTATGCCCGATAGCCCGCCTGCCTTCTTGCCTTGGAAAAGTCTTAAAAGATAAAACAAAACTTCAAAAACTTGCGGCCCGAAATTTGAAATATTCAATGCAACCTTGATGCATTCCTGGCCTGCAGATTATTTTCCAAAAATTCATATTTTTCCTCAACGTTCTCGAGATATATTTGCTATTAATTGAAAACGTTAGAGAGGAATTTTGTTTTATCTATTAACTCTACTTCTGCCTGTCTGTCTTTGCTGCCTGGCTGCCTGATTGTGAGTGTTTGCCTGTCCCCCTTCTCTCTCTCTCTCTCTCTCTCTCTCTCTCTCTCTCTCTCTCTCGCAAATCCATCCACTATTCTCCTTCCTTGTTACATCGTGCCATTGTTCTCACCATAGCGAACGTCTTTTTCCAAATTCCATTTTCTATTACCATGGGACCTGGAATGTTCACACTCGTTGAAAAATCGTCCGAAGTAAAAAGATAGAAAAACAAAGGAACCCGACAAAATTCATTTCGTCAAGTGTTACAAATCTTCGAACGTCGAAGGATGCTTTCAATTTATTTCGGACCTTTTTTCATCTCACGTTTCATAAACAATCACTCTTACACTATCTCACGTTCACACAGATTGAAAGATAAACGAAACGAGAAATCCATGTCGAGGGATTTTTGCAGACGGTCTTGAACGCGAGGGTGCTTTTTATTATTTGGAAATAATCTGAAATGAAGGAAAATCAAAGAATTTCGAGTAATTCTAAGGTCAAATTGATATTTCATTTAAAACAAAGATAACCGCGTTGAAGAAACGAGCGTTATGTAGAATTTAATTAATGGATCTTCTTTTATATTTGATGCACTGGAAAACAGAAGAGAAACCTCTTGCAAAATATTATTCTTTTTATTTATTATATCATTATTATGAATAATTATATAAATTCTTATATTCCATTTGATTTGATTTTCGCACGAAAGAAAAGGAAATGTTCATTCTTGTATGAAACTAAAGAATAATAATGGGAGGAGTAAAGATAATGAAAATGTTGACATATTAGGAGGTATCGATGGTGTTTCGTAAATCGAGAAGAAAAGTTTCGAGTCATGCGTTACATCCCATCGTCGTACCCTTGAACCCTGTTAATATGGAAGGGCTGTTTCAACAGGGGATTTGCTTCGATCCTTCGCTAGCTGGTTCATTCACTTTTTTTTCATCCCACGCTCACTCGACGATTTAAGCTACCCTCCAACCAAACCTCTGTCAACCCAACCCCTCAATCTCCACCCGAACTAATGTGTGTGTGTGTATACTACTTTGCATTTTGTTTGGGTCTTCTTTACAACGAACTAATTTTATCTTCGATGGAACTGCACATTCGTCATATTTTCTTTCGAAAATATTTTTCAAACTCTTCTTCTACTTTCTTTTCGTTCCGGTTCTTCAAATTTATTTAACAGTTTTTCTTTTTCTTTTTATTCAGTTTCTTTGCTGTCTCTCTCTCTCTTCTTCTTCTTTCACATATACACACACGTGTTTGCAGAAAAACGTATACTGAAACAAAAAGTACACGTACAAATAGCAATACGTTACGCTCTTGTTTCACCGTCGTGAAAAAACGAAAGAGCCAGAGAGATGCAATGTTTCGTAGTTCCTTCGAAGACGAATTAAATCGATCTGTGGGAGAAACCTATGCAAAAAGCGTGAACCAGCAGACAATGAACAAAAAATAACAATAAGATAAAGAAAAAAGTTATTCGACTAAACAAGCTAACGGTTATAACGTGCGTCGATTTTATGGGATTCTGGGGGAACAAAAATATAACGCGTAATCTATGCGAGATGTCGCATCGTGACAAATTTCACGTAAAACGTTCTAAATGATTTACCATTGGATATTGTATATGGAATGTTATTTTCTGCAAAAGAAAATTTCCAAAAAATAAATAAACGAAAGTAAGAATAAAGTACACAGTCAAAAATTAAAAAACAAAAAGAGAGAAACAACGGCGACGACAGTAACAGCAACAGGAACAAGTACAAGTACAACATCATCAACAACTACAACAACAGTAACAACAATCAAACAACATCGTCACGACCGGTAATAACATCAGGAATAACTATAGCTAATAATGACAAGCCTATAGTTATACATACAAATATATATATATATAAATTTGCAAGTAAATGATATAAGATTCATACACACACGTATATATGTATATATCGTTATGTGTGTTTAAAAATATATATATATATATATATATATATATATATACTCTTTTTGGACCCTATACTCTACTGCCTGCCTGCCTGTCTGCCTGACTTATCTGTCTGTCTGTTTGCCTGTCTGTCGTCTATATCTGTCTGTCCATCTGACTTGACTATCTCTATCTATCTCTCTCTCTTTCTTTCTATGTATATATATATATATATATATATATATAAAAATATATACATATATATATATATATATATCTCGCTCTAATGAAAAAAAAACATTGAAAAACATTTAAAAACAAAAAGAGAAAAAACGAAATAAAATTTGCAGGCAGATTCGCCACCGTAAGCGCGTCAGAAGCGACAACATTTCGCGTTCTGTTGACGCAGGCCGAGATTATTATTTTATTTAAACAAGATCGCTCGAAGAAAACGGACACAAAAAAATAATTGAAATGGAAAACCATAAGAAAGATTTTACTCTACCCTCACTACTCGTAAAAAGAACCTTGTTGGTACTTCCACAAGCCCCTGTTACCTCGTTTACCTCTCAATAACCAAACATCTTTTCTATACGCTCGGATTTTGTTAATTACGATCGTCCATCTGTTTCGCTTGTTTGTCCATTGACTTCTCTGTCACACCCTCCGTATTTTTTCTTTTTTTTTTTTCTATGTATATATATTTACATATAATATATACATATATATATATATATATCTCCCAGTACCCTACGCTGTATATCGCTGGAAAAATACTACTACTAATATTACTACTACTACTACATACTTACTATTTACTAAACTGTTACTGCTACTAAATACTACTACTAATATTATTTACTGCAACTACATACTTACTATTACTAAACTGTTACTGCTACTAAACTGTTGCTACTGTTACTGGTTAACTATAATACTACCGTTACTGCTACTTCTACCGCTATTACTACTGCTATTACTGGTACTGGAACGGCTACAACTACTACTAAAAAACAATTCACTAACACTGGTGGTGGTTGTCTGTGTTGTGCTGCCTCTGTCTGTCGTAGAGCAAGGAGGCTGGCATCCGCACTCTGGTCGCGCTCGATGACCAGGGAGGTGAGTGGAATCGCTTTTTAGCAAATAAGTCTAAATAAACACAAAACTTACAACCAACTGCGTTACACAATTTTACACACAAGCATATACTTGCTACCTCTATCTATTTTTCTCTCTCTCTCTCTCTCTCTCTCTCTCTCTCTGTATCTCTTTCTCTCTCTATCTATCTTTCACTTACTGTCTCCCTCTTTATCTCTATTTCTTAATCTTTACTATCTCTTTCCTCTAATATATAAATATATAAAAATATATTACTATATACACCTATATATTTATATATATTTATCTATCTACTTTTCTTTTTCTTATAAAAGTAATAGTTAACGTTAAACGAGAAGGGAAAAAAGAGAAGAAATTTCTTTCACGAGAGAGAATAACATGTTGAAATAATAGAGAAAAGAAAAATACAAAGAATTTCAACTATTAATCTCTTAAACTTTAATCGCTTAATCTCTCTCTCTCTCTCTTTCTCTCTCTCTTTCTCTCTCTCTCTCTTTTTCTTTCGCGATATTTACTTCTTTCACGAGAGTTGTTCGTCTTGACGAACCCGCAACCTAAGCTCCCTTTTCATTCCTGTTTCTGGAATAAATCCTAAAGGAAAGTGACGACCCAAGTTAAGAGCATGGATACAACGAATACGCAGAATTTCTTTGGTCTCGCGCTCGTTCGTTGATATATAATTGTTGCGCGTTTTTTATTATACTATTCTAATTATTATTATTTTTAATGTCATCTTTGGTATCATTGATAATATGCAAGGAAAGAAGTAAAGGAGTTGTACTCTTTTATCGTTAATATTCCACACGGACGATTGCTTCACGTTATTTGTTCTCTTTATCTTCTGGCTTTTATTTCTGTCCTTTTTTTTAATAATATATCAAAGTTACATATTAACGAGCCGCTCGTAATATAAATAAATCCTTACGGTAGGAAAGATTTTGTTTTATTTTTATATTATAAACATATGTACAGTCCCAAAACTCGCTGCTGCGCTAAACGAACAACCAACTACCGCTATACAGATTTGATCGTTACACCTAAATATATAGTAGGTATTTATTAATTCTTATCATTGTTGCAAGTAGTCGATTAGATTTGTTCTTATTTATTGATACCTTTATTTCTTTCTTGTTCTTACTTACGTTCCTTTTCCATTGAACCACCTCTTGGGCCCCTTTTGTATTTAATAAAGCCTACCCTTTTAACATCGCCTTAATCACTAACTATATAAACCACTGTTACTAACGTTAATACCAATCATTACACTCTACGACACTGCCAGAATAAATCATTATTAATCAGTACTAATAATTACTTACTCTAAACCGATTGACGACACCAACTAACGATAAGCATTCGGTGGTCTCTCTCAGTATTTACTAGCATCCGCTGCTGCTATCGCTGCTGCTGCTGCTATTGCCAGTATTGGTATCTATATATATATAATTAAAAATGAAAAACATTAGCCTTTTTCAATACTAACGAACTCTACAACCTATCTCTTGCTTTCTTTCTCTCTCTTTCTCTCTCTCTCTCTCTCTCTCTCTCTTTCTCTCTCTCTATCTCTTTGTCCTTCCTTTATTGATCGGGAGAAAACACGAACTCGTTGCTCGCTACCCTTTTTCATTTTTCTTCGAACAAATATTTTTATTTAATATTATTTATTGTTTTTTTTGTAAGATAAAAAATTAACTTGTTGAAAAAAAATATAGTCAATGTAAAAAGAGCAAGGATCAACCTCGTCCAAGTAATGTCTTTGAAATTTTCCTCGCGCTTCTTTCTTTAGTAATTTATTCCCGCACAACAGATAATGAATAATGATAATAGATAATGAATATATATATATAGTGTAATCGTGTATGTGTATGCATATATCTTGCAGGCGCATACGTATGTATTATTAAATCTCCCTTATCTTTATTACTTTTCACAAATACTACTATACACGTTCTTCTTTGGATTGTGTACTTATATATATATATACTCTCTGTAGCCTCACACGAAAGCTTTTAGCTGTGTCGCTTTGAGTCAACGTGTAATACCTACGTACATCTTTATATGTATATGTATACGTATAATATATATATGTATACATATATTACGTTTATTTAGTGTAAAACCCCCGAAACCGTATTTACATACTTCGTACACGTCTTAGAGGTAGATGTCTGTCTCTGTCGTATACAATATTTATTATACATATAAATATATATATACTGTCAATTTTTGAAACAATTAATATTTACTTGTAATACAATATTACAACATTTTTTTCTATACAGAGACATATTTTAAGATCTTTAAATTTTCAAATTGATCTCACATGAGTATTTGCATCTACGCAAGATGAAATCAAATTATAGTGATTATTCTACAATTGGTTGGACTTACTTTGCATTGCTTTCCATACGATTGTTCATGTTTCTGTGTATAAAAATGAGGAAAATATTGATTGTTTTAAATTGACAATAGGAGTACGAATACTCCTGGAACTTATATATATATATATATTTCTTGACTTTCTTTTTATCCTTGGTTGAACCTCTGCATCTCTCAAACGTACTATTGTCAATCGCTATTTTATCACGTAGGTATTAGTTCAAGTTCGTGTTTTGCATTAAAAAAAAAAGAAAGTGCATTACAAAAAAAGGTGGCACGTCGTAAACAATTAGAAGAATTGATTGCAGTCGCGATTAGATATATCGTCGCGCGTGCGTCTCGTTAATCACATATTTGAATAATTAATAAAAAAGCATCGGCAAAACGCATCGGCAAAACGCATCGGCAAAACGCGTCGCCTATCGATTTTTCATACTTTTTTCCACGATCCTTCGGGTTCTGTATATCTTATTTATTACGTTTTTCTAATATTCCATACTCGCATTTATCATCTTCATCATCGACGTATTATCGTCCATTACTTATAATGAATTTTTTTATTTCCTTATTTTGATTTAATATACATTATCATTTTGTCGAATAAAATGGTCTGAAAGAGACATGTTAATCTACATTTTATTTTATATCTGATTCTTGCGTAACATTCGACGCCTCAATGACTCTACGCCTCTTAACGATTACTACCAAATTTAATAATTATTTCAAATGACCATCTTCTTCGAAATTTATTTTTTTACGTGCAATTCATATTATTTGATTTTGCAAAATCGTTATGTTTCTTTTCCAGCAACGTGGTACGTCTTGTCTTAGGATTTTGTTGATTATTAATATGATTATCATTGTAGGTTGTAAACTCGTATAAATTCAATGATTATAGTTCACAATTGCTTTGTTCTTTTCAATTGGTTTTTTTTTGTTTTTAATGTACAACAATCATCGACAGGACGTGCACGCGGTGTTTTCTTGTTTTGTATAATTTTCCAGTTATTCACGCGAATCACTCAAAGATCTTTCATTTCCGTTAACGTGTGGGCCCTTTCGACCCCATCATAGAGCGAGGATGTCGCAGCGAACACACTGATGATGTTAGACCACCAAGGCGGTAAGCAGTAATCTCCAAGTATTCAAACTTCATTTTCAATCGAACCAAATGAACAAAAAATAAGACAAAAAAACGCAAGCAAGGGATAAGAGGATCGAAGACTTGGAATTTCATAAACATATAATATGATGTAATATATAGAAAAAAGGAAAAAAAAAAGTGGACGAGAGGTGGAAGCCCAAAATCATCCGTCTCTTTCTTTTTACTAATTCTTTTTCCCTTTTTTTTTCTTTCTTTTATATATTTTTTCTTCATTTTCAATGATGGATAATATTGTTACAAGAAAAAAGGAATCGTGCGGCGAGTATCTCTACCTTTTAATTAACAAACCCCCATCTTTTAATGAATAATCTTATGATAAATAGTATGCTTTTAAATGTAAAATATCCCCAGTAATTACGGCGGTATTCCTTTAATATTTTATTTCCTTTGAGTTAAAAAAAACCTTACGAACGGAATACAATAATATTTCTATTATTTCAATGATGTGTAATTACTGATCACCTAATTGGATTTTAAATATCCGATTAATTAATCTTTTCCTCTTTAACTCCCCCCGTATTTTCCAAATTATTAACCTTTATCCTTTATTTACGCCCGCTAATAATTACAGCTCAATCTTACTATCAACGGGGAAGCCCTGATAATCACACGTTTGTTAATAAAAAAGAAACAAGTAAATCATCGCCCACTATTTCTATTCATTCTTTCTAAGACTGCAATTCATTCAAATTGATTTTCATTAGATGCTTGGCTGTCGAACGAGAGTTCTTCAATATTTATTTAACGCGTTGCGATTAAAACGATACTTTTTAGTTTCTTTTTCTCTAGTAAGCAAAAACTTGACATTCAAGACGAAAACTCAACGATCGATCCTTACAAATCTAGAAAGGAACGTGCTCAATTGGATGACATTCGCTCATTGAAATTCGTGTCAAAATGTCGCGGTTAGTCAATTCGATGGCCATGTATCCATTTCTGAGGATCAATGGATTTACCTTAAATCCTTAGGTAAATCTTAGATCGTATCACTTTTCTTATATCTTTCTCTCTCTCTCTCTTTCTCTCTCTCTCTCTCTCTATCTTTCTTTCTCTCTTTCTCTTTCTATCTTTCCATCTATCTTACATTATCTCTTCGACACCCTCAAACTCGTTATCCTTGATTACGCATTAGAATGATACAATGCTGATCAAAACATTCGTCGTATGCGCCCTCTCGCTCGTTCGCCGATTATGTTCGCGCGTATTTTCTTCATATCTCTCTCTCTCTCTCTATCATACTTTACTTCTCTATCTCTCTTTCTCTCTCTCTCTCTCTCTCTCTCTCTCTCTCTCTCTCTCTCGCTCTCTCTCTCTCTCTCTCTCTTTTTCCCAGTCTTAATCTCGATATATCGGCTCTTTCGTATTTCATTATCAACATTATTAAATCATGCTAATCATGGAATATTGTAGAAAAAAAAGATGAATCGAAAGGAAGGGCAAGAAATGAATTTGATTGTCATAGGGCAATTTTGTTGTATCCTACTTGTCCTCATCCTTATTGTTGTCCCTTTTTGGACTTTGATATTTTGGGGCCGCGAAGCTAAGCGAACCGAAGCGAGGGAGCGTCGACGGTTAATTTGTCTTGAATGTTAACACGCCGCTGATTGATCGGTTGCCTGTTTAGAGCCACGAGGTCGGGATGAAAACTCTCGTTATGCTGGACGAGCAAGGCGGTAAGCCATTTCAATGTAGACGTAATCTTATAATTCCTTTCAAACACACGCCTCAGAGACTAAAAGTACTTTGAGTACAGCGAGTCGCAGGAATGTTCTTAATTATTACAAATTGTAAATAATTTATATCTTCTTTTGATGCGATATTTCTAAATTCTTTTATACAGAAACCAATCTAGGACAATTCTACGACCAATTTTTTTCAAATTGATGTCAAATTTATTCCCGTACAACATTTTATTCTTGGAAAAATATAATTCGACATATTTTAACACCGATTTTCTTATCTTACATGTCAAATTAAACTTTTCTTACAATGAAATACACTACGGTAATAAAATTTGTATCGATTTTAAAGTTGAATAATCTTCAAATATATTTCTACGTAGAAGATTTTCGAAACGTTGCACATTACAAGTAAATATTAATTGTTTAAAATTGACATTAACAGTGGCTACGAATACTTCTGTGACTCAATGTATATGTAAATGTACGCAACTCTATTTCAATCAGTTAGTTAATACTTAAATAATAGTAATGATAATGATAATATGACGATGATAATTATCAAAATACATACAATCACGCGTATCGCATTAAAGAAAAAGAAAATGATGAAAATGAACAAACATACCTATTAAACAAACGAACAAATGAATAAATAAATGAATAAATAAATAAATTACCGACATACGTATGCGCACACCCTCGGACACGACGTACATTCGATTATGCCGCGAGTTAACTTTTTCATTATAGATACCCATCGGAAGATTAATTAAAATTAATAATAATAATAATAGAAAATAATAATTTCGTAAACGTTCATCGATATGTAAACCCACTTCCCAAAACATTTTTTAATCTCACCGTCGCATTCACCACAAGAACACTGCCATTTGAATACATTGCCGAGTATCTTTAATTTTTCTCTTTCTCTTTTTCTCTCTTTCTTGTTCTCTCTCTCTCTCTCTCTCTCTCTCTCTCTCTCTCTCT